CTACTGGAAGGTTTAGATTGTCAAACAAAACCAGTCCACTGGTAGGTTTAGATTGTCGAACAAACCTAGTACACTGGAGGGCTTAGGTGTTGAAATAAACCAGCCTACTGGAAGATTTATGTGGTCAACAAACCCAGTCTACTGGAAGGTTTAGGTGGTTAACAAACCCAGTATACTGGAAGGTTTTGGTGGTCAACAAACACAGTCTACTGGAAGGTTTAGATTGTCAAACAAAACCAGTCCACTTGTAGGTTTAGATAGTCGAACAAAACCAGTCCATTGGTAGGTTTAGGTGATCGAACAAACACAGTTCATTGGACAGTTTAGGTGATTATTTTTCGTTTGCTGCCAGGTGAGATAGTGTAATTTTTTGATTTGAATCTATTTAGATAGCTCCATTTGGTCAGAAATTAATGATAATTTGAAGCAGCACATGCGAAGAAAAACGTCAGATAATGTTGCCTTGAGTTTTGCGAGAGCGTACGTTTCAGAACACTTGGGAATTACTGTCCGAACGAAATAGGCAATGCCCTTAGAATACAGGCTTGATAAAGTGTGAGGAAATTTGAAACCGAGGGGGGTAACTCTGAGAGTTTCTGGGAAACATGTAGCTAGTAAACGGGTCGTTGTCATCAGTTTCATATCACGTGATCTGTGGGTAGCGTCTCGGTAAAAGGAAGAATATTTATAACGTTGATCTTGGTGGTCTTATTTCTCTTCATTCTGATTGGGTTGTTATTTTGTAAATGAGATTAGACGTATATAATAAACGTTTATACAACTTCATACGGAAGTTGGGATCTTCACTAACCTATTCATTCACATACAGAAATTTAGTCCCCTTGATGAATTTAGATTAATCTAAAATATTTCAGAAGAGTTGTATCGTGGGGATATGTTGTCTCTCCTCCCTCTCGAAATAGCTCAGCGATGAGCTCGAGGTCTTATAACGGTAAAATTCGGGGTTGTGGGATCACAGATAGTCCTTTGTGAAAATTTACGCTTAAACAAAAATAATTTGTAAATACGAAAAAAGTTTCTAGGAGGATACTTGAGTATAATTCACTTAATATAAAAAATAAATAAGTAAACTTTCTGTTTCAAATAAAGCAAGAACGTACTCTAAATTACAACAAGAACTAATCAACCAATCAGAAACTCCGATTCTACAAACCTCTACATTACAACAAGAACTAATCAACCAATCACAAACTCCGACTCTACAATCCTCTATCTTTGCTCCATGGTTTATATTAAAGTATTCGGGAAGTGGAACTTGATATAATCAGTTGTGAAGAGTTAGAATGATACACATCCGTATTTTCCTTGACGGACGCTCCATTACTGTAACTTTAACGCCGATTTTATTCAAGGTCGACCAAACAACAAATTAAACGTTGGAATTGAGAACACGTGGAGAAATGAAATCAGAATGTAGCTTACATCCATTCTCCATATGGATGTAATAATTAACAGGTAAGACTCGTAATAACGTTCTCCCGACCAGTGATGAGAAGGTTTGTTTATTTGTATTTAAGCACAAAGTTACACAATGGGCTATCTGTGCTCTGCCCACCACGGGTATCGAAACCCGGGTTTCTAGCGTTCTAAGTCCGTAGACATACCGCCGTGCCACAGGGGGCGTGATGAGAAAGACTGACACGGTTGTTTCCCAAGAAAACAACGCTTTCGTTATGTGAGCGACACGTGAAATGTTAGCTAGGACAAAAGATGATAACTCTGAGAAAGAGCTAATTTTGTTTTGGATTATAAAGCTCAGCAGAATGTTCCAGAATACCATATTAGGCATTCATCAGTAAAGCCCAATTAAGAAACGTAACAACAAAAAAAGATAAACACGAGTTGTCGACTTATCTAATTTCGGGTAAGATCAACATTTTCCCTACTATATGCTATAATCTGATAACCATGTATTATATCTACACTATATTATCATGTATACAACCTAGACTTCACACCCCTTTACAACCCATACAATATATTATCTTGTACACAACCTAGACTTCTCAACCCTGTATGACTCCTTCAATATAATATCTTGTACACAACCTAGACATCACAACCCTGCGTGACCACTAAAATATATTATCATATCTATTAATGTGTACTGTGAACATGTTTTGTCGTTAAAGACTGATGGACTGGGGGCAGATGGAAATGGTAGATTTATCTTGACTGTCGGTGTTCGAATCCTTTATTGATGGAATATTATTTTTAATTAATTTTAAAGCAGTTTTAAATTGTATTATATTTGTTACAGATTAAGTTAATAAAGATTCAAAGCACTGAAAAATAGATTAATTTATCGTTTCTATTCTTGGTGTTTTCCAGGATCAAAGTCGGAATGCTTAAATGGACTAACGCAGTGTTCAAATTTAATCAAGGTAAAAATAAAACTCAGTTATTTTAAAAATAGATTTACTAAATAAACAATATTAGTATTGTAAAAAAATATATCATCATCTTTATATGAAAAGCATCTAACATTTTCAAACATAGAAAAAGGTTTATTTAGTTTGGGACCAAAAGTTTCAATGTACAAATATCAGAGAAGCACGGTACTAAGTTTAGTTAAGTTCTTCTGTTACTAACTTAACGTAGATAGTCTATGTTAGTTCTTCTGTTACTAACTTAACGGGCCCGGCACGGCCAGGTGGTTAGGGCATTCTACTCGCAATCTGAGGGTCGCGGGTTCGAATCTCCATCCCACATAACATATCGCCCTTTCAGCCGTAAGGCCATTATAATGTTATGGTCACTCCCACTATTCGTTGGTAAAATAGTACCCCAAGAGTTGGCGGGGGGTGGTGATGACGAGCTAGTTTCCTTCTAGTCTTACACTGATAAATTAGAAACGGCTAGCGCAGATAGCCCTCGTGTAGCTTTGCGCGAAATTAAAACAAACAAACAAACTTAATGGTAGTGAGTCTAGTAAAGCTCTTCTGTCACTAACTTAACGGTATTGAGTCTAGTTAAGTTATTCTGTTACTAACTTAACAGTAGTGAGTCTAGTTAAATTTCTCAGTTACTAACTTAACGGTAGTTGGTCTACTTAAGATCTTTTGTTACTAACGTCACGGTAGTGAGTCTAGTTAAGTTATTTTGTTACTAACTTAACGGTAATAAGTCTAGTTAATTCTTTTGTTACTAACTTAGTGATAATGTGTCTAGTTAAGTTTTGTTGTTACTAACCCAACGGTAGTGAGCATAGTTAAGTTAATCTGTTGCTAACTTAACGGTAGTGAGTATAGTTAAGTTCTTCTGTTACTAACTTAACGGTAGTGAGTCTAGTTAAATTCTTCTGATACTAAATTAACGGTAGTGAGTATGGTTAAGTTATTCCGTTACCAACTTAACGGTAGTGAGTATAGTTAAGTCATTTTGTTACTAACTTAACGGTAGTTAGTCTAGTTAAGTTCTTTTGTTACTAACTTAAAGGTAGTTAGTCTAGTTAAGTTATTTTGTTATTAACGTAACGGTAGTGAGTGTAGTCAAGTTATTTTGTTAATAATTTAACAGTAGTGAGTATAGTTAAATTATTTTATTAATAACTTAACGGTAGTGAGTATAGTTAAATTATTTTGTTACTAACTTAACGGTAGTAAGTATAGTTAAATTATTTTGTTACTAACTTAACGGTAGTGAGTATAGTTAAGTTATTCTGTTACTTACTTAACGGTAGTGAGTATAGTTAAGTTATTCTCTTACTAACTTAACAGTAGTAAGTGTAGTAAAGTTCTTCTGTTACTAACTCACTAACGTAACGGTAGTTAGGTTCTTTTGTTACTAACTTAACGGTAGTGAGTATAGTTACGTTAATCTATTACTAACTGAACGGGAATGAATATAGTTACGTTATTCTGATACTAACTTAACAATAATGAGTATAGTTAAGTTCTTCTGTTACTAACTTAACAGTAGTGAGTCTAGTTAAGTTCTTCTGTTACTAACGTAACAGTAGTGAGTCTAGTTAAGTTATTCTGTTACTAACTTAAAGGTAGTGAGTCTAGTTAAGTTATTCTGTTACTAACTTAAGAATAGTGAGTCTAGTTAAGTTATTCTGTTACTAACTTAAGAATAGTGAGTCTAGTTAAGTTATTCTGTTACTAACTTAAGAGTAGTGAGTCTAGTTAAGTTATTCTGTTACTAACTTAAGAATAGTGAGTCTAGTTAAGTTATTCTGTTACTAACTTAAGAATAGTGAGTCTAGTTAAGTTATTCTGTTACTAAGTTACTACCTTAAAAGGTAGTGGGTCTAGTTAAGTTATCTTGTTACTGATTTAACAGTAGTGACTATAGTTAAATTCTTTTGTTACTAACTTAGTGGTAGTGTGTCTAGTTAAATTTTGTTGTTACTAGGTTAACGGTAGTGAGTATAGTTAAGTTATTCTGTTATTAACTTAACGGTAGTGAGTATAGTTAAGTTCTTCTGATACTAACTAAACGGAAGTGAGGGTAGTTAAGTTCTTCTGTAACTAATTTTCTAACTTAAAGATAGTGAGTCTAGTTAAGTTTTGTTGTTACTAACTTAACGGTTGTGAGTATAGTTAAGTTATTCTGTTACTAACTTAACAGTAGTAAGTCTAGTTAAGTTCTTCTGTTCCTAACTTATTAACGTAAAGGTAATGAGTCTTATTACGTTCTTCTGATACTAACTTAACGGTAGTGAGTATAGTTAAGTTATTCCGTTACCAACTTAACGGCAGTGAGTATAGTTAAGTCATTTTGTTACTAACTTAACGGTAGTTAGTCTAGTTAAGTTCTTTGGTTACTAACTTAAAGGTAGTTAGTCTAGTTAAGTTCTTTTGTTATTAACTTAACGGTAGTGAGTCTAGTCAAGTTCTTTTGTTAATAACTTAACGGTAGTGAGTATAGTTAAATTATTTTGTTACTAACTTAACGGTAGTGAGTCTCGTCAAGTCCTTTTGTTACTAACTTAACGGTAGTGAGTCTCGTCAAGTCCTTTTGTTACTAACTTAACGGTAGTGAGTATAGTTAAATAATTTAGTTACTAAGTTAACGGTAGTGAGTCTAGTAAAGTTCTTCTGTTACTAACTTACTAACGTAACGGTAGTTAGGTTCTTTTGTTACTAACTTAACGGTAGTGAGTATAGTTACGTTAATCTGTTACTAACTGAACGGGAATGAATATAGTTACGTTATTCTGATACTAACTTAACAATAATGAGTCTCGTCAAGTCCTTTTGTTACTAACTTAACGGTAGTGAGTCTAGTCAAGTCCTTTTGTTACTAACTTAAAGGTAGTGAGTCTAGTTAAGTTCTTCTGTTACTAACTTAAGAGTAGTGAGTCTAGTTAAGTTATTCTGTTACTAACTTAAGAATAGTGAGTCTAGTTAAGTTATTCTGTTATTAACTTACTACCTTAAAAGGTAGTGGGTCTAGTTAAGTTATCTTGTTACTGACTTAACAGTAGTGACTCTAGTTAAGTTCTTCTGTTACTAACTTAATAACCTAATGGTAGTGAGTCTTGTTAAATTCTTCTGATACTAACTGAACGGTAGTGAGTATAGTTAAGTTATTTTGTTACTAGCTTAACGGTATTTAGTGTAGTTAAGTTCTTTTGTTACTAGCTTAATAACTTAACGGTAGTGAGTCTTGTCAACTTCTTCTGATAGTAACTTAACGGCAGAGAGTACAGTTAAGTTATTCTGTTACCAACTTAACGGCAGTGAGTATAGTTAAGTCATTTTGTTACTAACTTAACGGTAGTTAGTATAGTTAAGTTATTTTGTTACTAACTTAACGGTAGTTAGTCTAGTTAAGTTATTTTGTTATTAACTTAACGGTAGTGAGTCTAGTCAAGTTCTTTTGTTATTAAATTAACGGTAGTTTGTCTCGACAAGTTCTTTTGTTACTAACTTAACGGGAGTAATCTTCTACAAAGCTTGTTACACAGCTTATTTGTGGAATACTTAATAAAGAATTGAAAATGCAATACTAGTAATTACATAATAATTGGCATGAACATGGAGAGTTCAGCTACATTTTTTAGAAAGAAAGGAGAAAAAGTTATTAATTTATCTCAAATTTTAAA